AATGTATGAACGCTAAAATGAATGTATGCTACAGATGAAGACATTTAACAAGATTAATAATATTCTATAAATTTATTTTACTTGTGCTGCAAACTATGTTGTAATGGATTAACATTAAAATCTTCTCGAAGCAAGCACATTGCTCTCCAAAAGGGTATACCAGTCGGGCGCTGAGAAAATGAGACACAGTAACAAAGAGCAGGATAAGCGATCTCATAACAGAGGTACGCCAAGTCAAGTCACTGTAAGAATGTATTTGTATTTCATTTGGTTCTGAGTCTGTCAGATCCGTGTAACAAGCGAAGAGCAGACGTGCCGCAAGCTAGACACGTAGACTACTGGAGGTGTTTTACTAAAGGTTTACAGATTCACGGTACACTTCGTGATCGTAAAATGTGTGCAAGTTATTTCATATGCGTTCTTCAAAGCTGGTTAATAGAAGTTTTCTAGTTGTTTAATTCATTGAATTGTTCTAAACAGTAAAATAAGGCGGTGTTGGGAGCTGATGATAGTACTGTATGCCTTAATCATGATCCAAGATCTTGCCTAGAGCCCCCCAAAAGTTAGAGTTGACCCCGTACTCAAGTGACACGCGGATGTGACTGAACACGTTTATTAAGAGTTACGTCCATTTTAGTTCTGTGTTTTTTTACCTAGATTTCAGTTCACTTCCTCAAAAAAAGTATCGCACTATTTACCTACGTGCATTAGTAGGCGTAATAATGAAGACTCCTTCCTTTACTATTAGAACAAGAAATGTACAGTAGGTCCATTGCACTGTGACTGGAATACAAATTTAGCTGAACATTACAACACATTTCTGAGCAGCAGTTGCTTAAAATCATTACAGTTAACAATATTTCATATCGTAAGGTGCAACTGCATTTGGACCTTTACCTGGTGATCCAGTCTTCTGCTTTGACCGGCTTTAGTCTTCTGTATGGCGGGAGTTATACAGTACTAACGTACTGTATTGTCCTCTAGAGGGCAGCAGCTGCTATTCTGGGGTCAATGCAATTGACAACAGGTTTAGTAAGGAGCCGAGGACTAATTTCAGCAGCATCGTTCGTTGCGGTGTGTATTAATCTAAAGGATTTGTGTACTAATCACTGGGTCATCCCCAGTCTGTCCGATGCTTTCCTTAACTTGCAATTGACCCTCTGTGTCGGCTGGCTGTCAACACAGCGGAGCTCTTGGAGATGCAATTGAACACTAAATACTTAATTAAACCAGTTAAATTCAGATGTTAACGAAGTAAAAGAGACCGACTTCACTTCGATCTGTTAACTAACTGTAACTGAGAGGGAGCGGTTTTTTTTTTAAATAGATGCCAAGCGAATTTATAGGGGAGAGATGAAACTTTCTTAAAATATGATAATAAAAAATGCATAACAGTACTTTTTCGTTTAAAAAACGTTAATATACCCAAATTAATTGGATTAACTTGTTGCTGCTTCAAGACTATTTTTAAATAGTTACTTTTGCTTAACAGCCAAGTTAAACCATGTTATGTTTCTATTAGTGAGGATTAATACTGTTACTATGTGTTTGTTTGTACTGTATGACAGGAGTTTGTAATTCCTCTCATTGTAGTTTTCAACCTCTGCTTTTCGTTTCGTTTTAGCTGAAAATCCATAATTGTAGCCAACTTCAATAGGAAATTGTAAGTTTTAAAAAATAAAAGCAGAGTATCGTAAGAGACTTGAAAAGTTCAACAGAGGCACAACAATGTTATGGTTTCGGAAGCTTTGTATCAGCGTTTAGATACTTAATATCCCTTTATAAATATCGGGCAGAAAAAATAACAACGCACCCTTTTCAGGCATATAAGAAATTACCTGCCTGAAGACGTCTTTAAATAAAATGAACAATTTCACATCCAAATGTGATAATAAAGTCCTAAGGGGAAAAAAGTAAAAAAAAATAATGCCCAAATACACTTTCACTTATTATTTTCGTAATTAAATCCTGCCCGGAATGTCAGAGGTACTTAAAGGTTTTGACTTTCTTTAAAATGGAGACGCCTAAATACTCCTTTACTTTTCGTGTCTTACTTTCTGACACACAAGATAGCGGTTGGGAATGTTTTGCAAGGGAAAAGTACAGAGAATCGTCTGACTGGCCAGCACCAAGACAATGTCGCATTCTGCCTTCTCAATGGTCAAAACTGTGTGTTGTGAGTGTCCATTATAATTAATACTGTAGCTAGGTCAGATTTTTCTCGGCAATAAGCTATAAGTCGTTTATTGATAGCTCCATAATCAACTATAAACTGCACCGCACATAAAAACAATATACACTTATATCTCAAGGTCCTGTTTCAGGAAAAAAAAAGTTCCATCAACTGTAAAGGGATATAATTTTATGAACCATTTGATTGCTAAATACGCTGTAGGGAAAGTACACTCTGAAAAAATACACGAAGTATTTCCAATAGTTTAAAATTCACGTTAAAAAAAACTTTAATTGGAGACATTTCTATAAAATAACGATAGACGAAACGATATCCATGTGTTTATCTATCGAAAACACCACTAATATCACAAAACATTGTATAAAAATGATCTTAATTACATAATCATAATAGTTGTATAAATATATTATAACAACCGAGGGGACTTTCTTTATATACCCCTTACTTTTAGGGACAGAAAACAACACTGTTTACCCACTGTAACCCTGTTCCTCAATATTCCCGCTGTTTTAGTGTAAGACTCACAAGTACGGTATGCACTTTCTTCGCAATAAATAGCGGAACAAATGCTCAAGTGACAGGCACGCTTATCAAGAGTCACGTCTATTTAAGCTGCATGTTTTTGCCTATACAGTATTTCAGTTCACTTTCCTCCTCAGAATCTCTCTCTCTCTCTCTCATCCTAGAATATGTATCTCAATATACTATATATCTGGTAACTGTCACATTCCACGGGCTCTGCGAGCATTAGTAGGTATAATACTGATCACTTCTTTCTAATCGGAGCTCTTCATTGAAAACTAGCTAAAGGTACTTCGTTACCTGGCCTTTATAAATCAGTGTACAGGAGATGTTAAAGGACAGCAGTCGAAATCTGGAAATGAGCCCAACCTCATCCTCGCTGCGTTGAATAATAACAACTGAGATGGGCCGATTTTAAATAGGTACCAATCTGCAGGGGAGAGCTGACAATTTCTGAAAACGTGTTAACAAATAAAATATGCAGAACAGCACTCTTTCAGATTAATACCAAATTAAATACTGTACATGCTTACACTATATACTATTCTATTTGCAGTAAAACATTGTTTTACTTTCGCTTAACACCTAAATTAAACTATGTTCCTATTAATGAGGATTAGTCGGGAATCTGTCTTTTCCGGAGGAAACAAAACGAATCGTCTGATTGACCAGGAACAAGACAATTCACAATTCTCACCTGTCAAAATAGTGTGTTGTGAGTCTATCATGTTTTCTAGCTAGCTCGGATGATTTCTTTATCTGTGCAATAAGCTATAGGCGTTTACTGAGAGCTGTATTATCAACTTTACACCGTACCGCAACTAAAACAAAATATTTATCTACGTTTCAAAAAAACATGTTTCTTAAAAAAATATGATCAGTTAATTAATACAATTCATCGTAGCTTGATGTTTATTTTCGAACAAGCACATTTAATTACTGTGACAGATGTAAAATAGAAGCGATTAAAATGATGAAGTAAAAGTACACTCTAAAGATACATGAAGTGGTTTCCAATTGTTAATTTACAGAAGAAAATCTTTAATTGGTGACATTTGTACAGTATATAATAATATACATACACAATCTAGGGTACAATATCCACGTGTTCAACTATCGAAAACACCACTAATATAACGATCTATAATAATTATCCAATCTAAATGATTTTATACTAATTCAGTAATATACAATTATATAATAACGTCAAGATATTATTTAAATGCAAATAACACTCATATTTTATATTCATTTGATAATAATATAATTAACGTTAACAACAATGCTAGGACAACAATTATTCACTAAAATAATCACTAAAATTTCACTAAAATAACCATGAATCATTAACTGTTATTTGCAAGTATTAATAGTTACTTTTTTTGAACAGTTAATAAAATCTAATTGCATAATGATTTTAATTAATCGTTATTCTATTTATAATAATATAGTGATGGCGACGTCTGATTTTCCATCATAATTATTGCATATTGTCATTAGCCTAGTTTAATTATTTTATTCTATTTTAGTTAGGTCAAATTTGTCCTTTTGGGGGGCAGTAGAGTCCAATTGTCGTAGCTGACCAGTATATACGTTTTCTCCACTTTTTATAATAAATATTTTAATAATAACCTTTACGGCGTTCAATAATTATTAACTACCCTGAATGCGTGTCTGGTCTCTAGGAGTCGTGCATAAGTCTCTAGTGATAGCCCAGGCGTGATAGTTTAAAAAAAACACAATTAGTGCGTGTGTATAAAATGACAAAACAACAAATTTGGCTGTTTTTATTGTAACGTGTTAGAGAACGGTACCCAAGAAATAAATCCATGCGACAAGTTTTCATTGAAATAGTGAGTCTGAATAAGTAGTCCCCGTTTATCTCATTTCCCGCAACTGCTACTGTACAGTATGTCTCGGTTTCGGAAACCGAAATAAGGAGTCTACCCTCTTTTCCACTGACACCTGCTTCTGAAACGCTGACACGTCTCGTCAGTAAGTGACGTTGTTCTACAAAATGCCCAGCAGAGGGAGCACGGCGACTAACGAAAAGGAACTGAAACGCTCACTGTAGGAGTCGAGTAGCGGTGTTTCAGGTACGGGAAAAAACAAAACAAAAACAAAACAAAACTACCCAGAAAAGTAAGTGTACAGTATGGAAGTGTTTTCGGAGTCATGACCACAGAAGGATCATAAATAAGAGAGACTTGTGTTGTACTGTAACTCAATTCATGACGGTGATAACTAAATGTGGTAAACTTATTGCCAGAAAAGAAAACATAGCTCATATTCCAGTGGAGTTTATTTCTGGGATGTTTGTAACCATTCCCGTTCCATCAGAAGGCGAAGCATACTGAAAAACAAAACTCCTCCCCACCCAAAACACCCCCCAAAATACGTGTATATTGTCTTGGCCTGATTTTTGACAGTTACTGCACACTTGTCCTGTTTGACTGGGGTTTTAGTGTCAGTCCACTGTCCAGTCGCTGTGCCCTGTTCAGCGGTGGTTTTGTTCTCTCATGTGAAGTCACAAGCGGTGTGTTTCCATCGGTGCTTCAGGCATTGAGGCAGGTTCCTCGTCTTCTCCTGCTTGTTCATCAAAACTCTTTCCTGCTGCAGGTTCGCCACTTCCTTACAGTTGGAATTTTAATTTAGGGTCTCTCAAATCGGGCTGATTTAGACTGTGCCCTCCTGATATGGTGGAAGTTGTGTCAAGCAAAGAGACAGTGCCTACTGTCACGAAAGCCGGTTTTGACTCCCGTGGAGTGTGTTATTAAAGACCCTATGTGGACGGTATAATCCGTAAAAGACAATGGAGGAAGGCAGAACGGGGTTAGGATGGGTTGACAAGACAGGGGGCGGTGGCTGTAGTGAGCAGGTGCACGGGGGACATGAGATAGCAACCAAGTCCAAGGAAGTTCAAAAGGGAAGTCGGGGCGCAGTCCATAATCCAAGAGCCGGGAGATCCATCCAAGACAAACAGTTAAAAGGGGGAACCGGGTCGGAACCGGCACAGGAACAAGAACTAAAAACATAACGGAACCAGGCACTCTGGATCCCAGACCCAGGAGGTCAGGACGCCGCGGAAAAAGCCTGCCTTCGGAGAACCCGGGAAATAGGCCAGCCTTGTGGCGTCCATCTTCCACTACTGAGCCCGGAACTGCAGAGACGCTAGGCTTTGAACCAAAAAGCAAACGATTTGCATCAGGAAATAATAGAAATTAATCATAACCGAAAGGGGGTAGGAGCGCCCTCTAGAGGAGGGATGTAGAACGTAACGCCTACAGCAGCACAGATACGATACAAGGCTATGATTCTCAGTTAGGCAGGGGGTTATGATTGTTGTGGGGGTGAAGATTTACAGACCTCACCACCTGTTACCCTGGTGGACAGGACAGAAACCAGGGTTTGCCACAGTGATTTCTCATCCAATCAATTAACAACCACCTTGAATGGAATGAATCACCTCTATCTTATCCCAGAGTAAGAACTACTGCTGACTAATCCTGGGGTCTGTAACCTGAGCAAATGCCTCTTCTACTTCTGTAGATCCATTATTTCTGCATTTTTCAGCATGATTTGCTGAGGGGCTTTTGTACAGTTTAATGGAAGAAAACCAGTGATTGTGGACATACTAGTCCTGGATTCTAAGATGTAGGAGCCTCATGTTTACTTCTTGACTAAGTCAGCTTATGGAATCTCCATGCTGAATTCTGTACAGTTTTAGGGTGGGGGTAGGAATGTGTTGTACAGTAGAGGAGTTTGCCTTGTTATCACCTTGTTAATGAGCTTATCGCCCATGGTTTCAGTTCAGATCCTCTTTAACCAGACCACAGAATGTTTGTAGAAAACACCTTTATACTTTTACACACTTCTTTAACAAATCGTGAATCAGGGGAAACACCAATTCAACGGAAAGGAGTTCTTGGTCCAACACTCACAAATAAAGACCTCGATTACAGATCGTCATGCACTCTCCTTTATCTCCAGTAAACCACGCTATGGATTTTCCAGTATATACAATGTAAGCTGACGGGCAGAAGCGTTTGTAAGAGGTGTGTTTGTGTGCCTCAGTGTCACGCCGTGAGACACAGTTATCTCCAACCACTAGACGGCAGTCGGCAGCCTTGAACTCCTGTGAGAGACAAGGAAGGGACGTGTTAGAGTCCAACTCCTGAAGAGTTTGCCTGGCAGCTACTGCACTACATACACTTCATCCAGTACAGATCACCCACAGAGGCGTCGAGAGATGCTTTAATTAAGAAGAATAGTTTGTGGTGAAACTAGGCTCGCCTGTTATAATTAATCATTATAACAGTTGGCTACACTTATATAGCACTTTTCTGGACACTCCACTCAGAGCACTTTACAGGTAATGGGGAATCCCACTACAACCACCAGTGTGCAGCCCCACCTGGATGATGCTCCAGTACTCTCACCACACACCAGTTCTTAGGAGAGCAGAGTGATGAAGCCAGTTCAGAGATGGGGATTATTAGTACCAGGGGGAAATTTGGTCAGGACACTGGGGTAACACCTCTACTCTTTTCAAGAAACAACCTGGGATTTGTAATGACCACAGAGAGTCAGGAGACTCCAAAGGATGACTCCTATTTGCAGTATAGTGTTCCTGTCATTATACTGGGGCATTAGGACCCCCACAGACCACAGGGTGAATGCCCCCTACTGGCCCCACTAACATCTCTTCCAGCAGCAACCTTAGCTTTCCCAGGAGTCTCCCATCCAGGTACTGACCACGCTCACACCTGCTGAGCTCCAGGGGTTGTCAGCTGTGAGTTGCAGAGTGATATGGCTGCTGGCTATAACTCCTACTTCTAAGAAGTACAGTTATACTTCTGACAGCAGCCTTGTGTGTCTTTCTAAAGTGGACTATTTTCTATTCACTGACATGGGCATAAAACCAACTTTCAAATAGTCCTGCAGAAACTACTGACATCAAGCATTTAGATATTCACAATCATTTACTTAATTAAGAATTAATTTTTAGTCAACAGCCGAAGGTGGAGTTTTGTCTGAAATGTCTTGTTTTTACACATTTAAACACTACGATCAACCTGAAAACCTTCTTTTGTAATTTGGTTTACTATTTTTCTACTGCAGATCATTCTACTCTAAAAACATGATATATCATTCAGCATGGTCCATAACATTGTGAACTTTTCTTGTCTTATTAAAATTGCATTGTGACTTGTACCTGCTCTTAAAAACACTGCAAGACAGAGAGATTTTTCCATTGGGAACCATACTGGATCTTTGTTGGACCATGTACATCTGTGCCATAAAAATTAAACCTAATAAGGGCAAACAGCAATCTGGGAATGGTTTCTTTGACCTACTACACGCAAAGCAAGATCTATACATCTGCAAAGTAATAGCCAATGTAAAGAAATGGTTAGAGCTAATTAATCATATACATTACAGCGGATGGATGTCTGGCAATGAGGTACCTTCTTTGTTTCTTTTAACAAAGATCCCAACAGCCACCAAGCACACCAGGACCAGCGTAGCCGGTAATAGAAAAGCAGAAAGATGGTATCTCTCTGGATGGATATTTTCAAAGAACGTGTCTGAAATAAAGAAGGAAGTTTATGTTAAAACTGATGGGCAAAACAGCAAGAAAAACTTTTGTTCAATTATCCCATTTTGGAATGGCTTCAAGAAGCATCTATCTGTATAATTGTCTCCTGTATCCACTCAAGACAGAAGGAGGCTGGTGACCATGCTCCTGTGACACAACCACATAAGCTATTCATCATTTGACATGTAATCTCCATCGCGCCTGACAGGAGAGTTAATCCCGATTGGGGGGAACATGGACAGGATTCACTGCAATTCACAGGGTTTGATGTTTATCGGAAAGAGACAGATTGATCCCTGCACTTGGACAACTGCACACTGCTGTATGGGGAATCTCATGTCGCTGTCTGGTAGTGACTTGACCCAGACTTCAACTAGCGATTTTCAGATCGCAGTGTTCATCCTACACTCCCAGAATGTGCCTTTATTGGGTTAAGTAACTTAGAGCAGAGTACCAAGTGGCTCATTCAGTAAGGATCACGGTGTCACAGAGGGATGGACAGATAATGTGGATGGAGGAAAAACAAAACAAATGCCCAACTCTGAAACTGAATGTAAAATGTAATTATTTGTCCTGTAGAAACGGGGGAGAAATGGACTGTGTGCTCAAGGCCAAACATATATCCCACTGAAAAAAATAGTACCTGTGTTCCTTTGTAATCCACATTCCGATCTCATTCACATTTAACCAGTCATTTTAAGACCACATACCCCAAGTTTCTTCTCTTCATTAAACTCTCTACACAAATGTTCCAATTATGTTTCCTTCCAAAACTTTCTTTCTCTCCACGCCTCTGTTTGTCCTCCATACGTCCACCTCAGTGCCTTTAGCATCATTGATGTGTCTGTGCTCGATTTATATAGCCTGTCTGAAAACACACCTGTTCTGTGTTTCGCTGACGACCAGGAGAGCTTTTCCTGGGCAGCCATCTTGGGAATCTGATCAGACATCTTGAGGAGGTCAAGTTGGATATCGAGGACACAGAGTAATTTGTTTTTGGAAAATACCTTCCTTCTAAGACTCGTCCCCTGCTAACCTTACAGGGAGTTCATCCAAAAGCATCTGGAGCAATATGACACAGATGATGCAGGTTTGAATGTGGACTCTGATTACTGTTACAGGACTGTGTTCACACATAAACTCAAACCTTACGTGGATTGCAGGAGTCTGCCTAGACTTTCTCCTTCTCCTTTCTCCAGATTTGTACCCATGAAATAAGACGTGAAAAATCCACAACTGGTTGTTCCAAGTAGGGTGCGTATAAGAAAAATCGAACTGGCAATTCTCAATTAAAAGACTCTCTGATAATCCAAGAACTACATAGAACAGAACATGGCTTTATGTGTTTGATTCATTTTGCAAAGGGACAACCATTCTTTGACTCGAAGTAGATCTGACTGTAAGATACCAAGGGAGCACGAGGCGGAGGTAAAGAGAATGAGTGCTATATCCTGAGGACATCTGAAAAGGCAGTATGAATGACCTGTATTTGTACACAGGCGGGGACATCTGCTCAAGGGAAGGAACTAGAAGCTTGGTTCATATCCTGAAAATTTATGACTAAGGATATAAGGATTAAGAACTGGGTACTCTTCAGGCAAGTTGACTTACCGCTGATTCTGAGTCGTGACCCAAATTCTATCTTCTGCTCCTGCTGGGCCACCATGCAGACCACACCCTCGTTGTCGGTCTTTTTCATGTACAAGTGACTGGTGATGGAGTAAGGACTGTCCTTGCCGGGCTGACTGGCTGGCTTCACATCCGAAGAGAGTTTTCTCCCACCCTTGTCTGTCCAGAACATCTGGGGTTCGGGAAACCAGCCCTCGGAGTGACAAGTCAGCTTCAGAGAGTCTTTCTTTATTTCTCCAATTTCTATCTCGGGCCTGTTGCCCTGGCCTGTGGAAGGATCAAAAGTTAACAGCAGTAATCTCTGTATACAGTATAATACCTAATCCTCTATGGACAAAAACCTTCAGTGTCATCAAATGGGTGGAGGCAGGACACCTAAAGGGCGCTGCTCTTCTGTCCTGTTCCTAGTTCCCTGTGATTATTCATGTCTTTCCGGTGGGTCTTGTTATGTAGCCTATTTACTTCCTGTATCTGCTCTGCTCCTGGGTCAGCATCGAGGGTGTGGATGTCCTGAGACCCGCCTAATACCAGGTCACCCCATGTCCGTGGCCTGAGGGCATAGGTTTCTAGACCGACATCGTCCGCCCCCCTGAGCCTGGGCTAACCCCCGTGTTGCCCCCTTTTACCGCTACGCATAGGGTCTCTACTGCTCTCCTTGTCCTTCCACGGCATACCCTTCCGACATCCCTGACAGCATGATGGGAGAAATCTGTAGTGTGCCATTCTATTGGCAAAAATATGGCAAAAATCAAGCCTATATTTGTCCTTTTAGTGAAATAGCAAATTGTCAATAGTAAATAAGTGATCACAACAGATACATGTGGAGCTGGGTTGGAGGATTGGTGCGGAAGTTGAATGGGATGGAGAAAAGGTGTACGGATGATATTGTTACAAATAGGGGATTAAGAAACTAGAGAAATATCAGGAATCCGTGAGAGGATTAATCAATATGTAAATTAAATAATCAAAACCCCCAACTTCTAAATTAATTTGCCCAAAATATACCTGCGCGGTTGGTAAATGAGTGCCTCTCAGTGTTTGTTCTCTGACACAACAATGGTGAAAAGATTAATAATTCATATATTTATTAAAAATGACAATACACTCACTACATAAACATCCAGCACACAGGTTACGTTCTTTGCAAATTTACAAATAAGGAGTCCCAGAGGCCTAACGTCTTACCCACCTAGCAAAACCCTGGACTGCTACCAAGTGTTCGACTTTTAAATAACGCCCACAAAGGCGAAAAGAAGAGATACAGTAAGCTGCCTCCTAAACTAACTAGAATACAACCTGTTGTTAAATCTCTCTCTGTCAATCCGGATGACACAAAATATAATGAGAACTAATCAGCCTCTTCTAGAAATCTACCCACTATCCATTTTAGCCAAGGCTATTTTTAATCAAGGGATTCTTACTGCTTCTTACTTTCTGATTCACAGAAAATCAGTGTTCCCTAAAATCACACAAGAGCAAGCTCTTCAAATACTTCGTTCGAATCTGATCTTTCCCAGGTCATTTAGACGAGAGGCTCGCACCTTCCCCTTCTCTTGTCTCTTGTTTTTCCTTCTATCCTCAACTTCTTCTGTATCTCACACCTGAAGAAGGCTCCACAGCCGAAACGTTGTGTTTTCTCTCTTCTCTTTTCAGCAGGGAATAAACCTATTACTTGTTCCTTTGCAGCCTACGCACGCTGACGCAGCTCCCCACCTGATCTTCTTCTGTACCTGCCTGTTTCATGCTCTGTCCCCCCCTGAGTGTTGATTTGTCACTTAATCATCCATCTAGGACTTCATTATCTAAGGTAAACCAGGGTAACCTTGCTTTGATGGCTTTGATCTTTGAATCTGGGAAACATCCCCTTGCTGGGAAGGAGGAAATGTTGACGCAGGCCAGGTGTTACCCATTGTATCTAGCTTCTTAAACACACTTCATAACAATATTAAATTGCTTTTTTTTTGGGGGGGGGGTGGGGGGTGGAAACAGAAATGATGATGAGTTACGTGATGAAGCAGAAGTGAGCTTGATGTCACCCCTCCTGAATGTTTGTTGTAAATTCCAGTAAATAAGACTCTGAGATTGTCTAATGTGGTAGCCCAGGAACTGGAGGAAGGCAATGGATCTAAAAAATCTTTGGCCTTCCACATATTTTTCTACTTTGAAAATGGTACCAAAACCTTTCTTGAAAAAAAATTTAAAAACACAGAAGGGGCAGTGCAGTGGCCCTGTGGCTCAGGATCTGCACATGTGGCTGGAAGGTTGCTGGTTCAAATCCAGCAGCCAGCAGAGGAATCCTACTCCGTGGGGCCCCTGAGCAAGGCCCTTAACCCCAACTGCTCCAGGGGTGTTGTACAATGGCTGACCCTGTGCTCTGACCCCAAGCTTCTCTCCCTGCCTGTGTTTAATGGAGAGCAAGCTGGGGTCTGTGAAAAGACAAATTCGTAATACAAGAAATTGTATAGGGCCAATAAAGTGATCTTAAAGAGGACATCCAAGAAAAACGTAGATCTGTACTCACGTCTAACACGTAACCCCAACTTGGGCTCCTCGTACCATTCCGCACTGCTGACGTGACACGTGTAGGAGCCTTGATCTGAGATCCTGACGTTCTGGAGCAGCAGGGACACGTTTCCTCTCTCCATCTCCTGTTTGAACAGCCTCACTCTGCCCCTGTAGCCTGACCCCTCTGTCTCCTTCCCCTCCTTGTAGAGGAAGACCAGGTTCTCAAAGTTCTCTCTGTACCACCTCACGTCCATGGCTGCGGCACTCATTTCAGGGGACAGCTGACAGGGGAGGACAACGTCGCTGGCCACACTGGCCGCCACAGGCTCTGACGGCACAATGAGCTTAAATGTGCCTGTGGGAAAGCAACAGAGAGGGGGCGCTAGAGAGATCCAATCTTGCTGCAGACACGCAGCCATAAACACACTAAGGAATGTTTAATGAACCCTGGAAAACAAAAAAACCTGGCAAGTGATGTGCACTGTTTATAGGGGACTATCTGCTTCTGTAGCAAAAAGAACAAAAATCAGTGTGTTGGTGTTCACTCTCTTTCAGGTTTTAAAGAATGGGCAGCAAAGTGGTGCAGTAGTTAGCTTTGCTGTCTCGAAGAGACCCTGGGTTCAATTCCTGGACGAGTACTTATGTGGAGTTGGTATGTTCTCCACATGAATGCGTATTCTTGTCTGTGTGTGCCCTGTGATGGACTGGCGTCTCCTCCCTCATTGCTCCCACTTGTTGCTGGTTTAGGCTCTGTCTCCCTCATGATCCTCTTCTGGTTAAGAGGGTTAGAAAATGGTTGGATGGATTAATTCCCAAATGAACTGAATCCATGTTTTACTGCTTCAAGAACAGCTCTTGCGTAGAGCGTGCAATTTAGAATGCTCCTAGCTTGCCAGCAGCCATATCACCCTGCAACTCACAGCTCACAGCTGGCAGCCCCACTGTAGCTCAGCAGGTGTGAGCCTGGCCAGTACCTGGATGGGAGACCTCCTGGGAAAAACGAAGGTTCCTGCTGGAAGAGGTGTTAGTGGGGCCAGCAGGGGGCGCTCACCCTGCAATCTATGTGGGTCCTAATGCCCCAGTATAGTGAAAGGGACACTATACTGTAAAAAGTCACCATCCTTCGGATGAGATGTATAAGCGAGGTCCTTAAAACCTGTGGTCATTAAAAACCCTGGGGTGTTTCTCGAAAAGAGTAGGGGTGTTACCCTGGCGTCCTGGCCAAATTTCCCATTGGCCCTTACCAATAATGGCCTCCTAATAATCCCCATCTATGAATTGGCTTCATTACTCTGCTCTCCTCCTCACTGATAGCTGGTGTGTGGTGAGCGTTCTGGCGCACTATGACTGCCGTTGCATCATCCAGGTGGGGCTGCATAGTGGTGGTGGTAGTGGGATTCCCCATTACCTGTAAAGAGCTTTGAGTGGAGTGTCCAGAAAAGCACTATATAAGTATAAGGAATTATTATTAACTTGCTTCCTTAAGCTTTGTGTTTCTCTTAGCACTCATACAGAGTAGCCTCGGCCATGCAATTAATAGCAGTTAGCAACAGTAGAAAAGGTTCTACTCACTTGTTATAAGTAACTGGTTCTACTCACTTGTTACAAGTAGCTGCATGGAGAGCTCATCGTACCAGTCCCCAGAGCTGACGTGGCAAGTGTAGATGCCTTTATCCGAGGTCGTGACCCTTTCAAGCAGCAGGGACACGTCCCCCTTCCTCATCTTCAGCAGCCTCACTCTGCCCCTGTAGTCTGGCCCCTGCATCTCCCTCCCGGCTTTGTACAGATGGACCAGGTCGCTGAA